AAGAAAGTAAACTTGTTAAAGTATAAATATTTTTTGTGAGGAGAATTTTGATAATTTAAATTTAATACATAGTAGGAAGTATTACATATAAATGTGTAAGTATACTTGCACGTGTAAATATATCTACAATACATATTAACGTGAAGTTAAAAAAGAAAGTAAACTTGTTAATTTAGAATTAAATAATAGAATTAGAATTAAATAATAGTAATAGTAGTATTATATATAGGTGTGTAAGTATACTTGCACGTGTAAATATATTTGCAATACATATTAACGTGAAGTTAAAATAAAAAGATAACTTGTTAACGTGTAAATATTTGTCGTGAGAAGAATTTTGATAATTTCAATTGAATACATAGTAGGAAGAGTATTACATATAGATGTATAAGTATACTTGCACGTGTAAATATATCTACATATTACGTGAAGTCAATGTCGTCGCATTTACTACGTGCCGATTTAGAGACGTATAACAGTCGTAACACTTTCGTGAGCTCGATCGTCCAATGGTGATATCGACGATGCTAACGGTATGTACCTATGTACACGTTTCTCTCTCTTTCTTTCTTTCTCTTTCCGTTTTTCTCTCACTCTCTTGCTTTCTATCTTTCTCTCCTATATATACACGGTTATATATATATATTTATATTATAATTTTTATAATAATAACAATAATTATTATTATATTATCATAATTATTATTGCAGTCGTACAGGTGTTTTATCGAACAAAAAAAAATATAAAATTAGCTTTTGTTGTTGAAGCTCTTCTTCTGTTGGTCTCTATTGTCAAGGTGTTACATAACGGTTCCGGTTGACATCACCAATGTATTATACCTCTTTCTCAAAAGAATTAACGCAAATATGAGAAACCCCCTAGACCCCACCCCCTTCTTTTATTACTATCCTTCTTTCTTTTATTTTTTAATCCATTAAATTAGAAATTAAATACCTTGTCGGTCACAAAATTTAGTACCTTTGCTATCTTTTTTGATGAATGTTAAAGTATTAAGAACACTTAGAAAGAGTTTAAAAAAGATGAACAAGGATTAAACGTTCGAAGGATTAGAAAAATAGAAAACGTATCAAAATAAAATATATGTTACAGTCAATGTAAATTATTCTGATATGAAAATATTATAGAATATATCTTTTGTAAAAAGAAAAAAAATACAAAAGAATATATATATATATTGTAATAAAATTTGTGTACCTAAGAGAGT